CTTCTTCAATATGTATTATTATTTATCTGCACTACTCATTTGATCATATTAATAGAAAAAGTTAGTGCTCTATTTTTAATTTCATATCTCCATTGGATATTGAATTTTTCATATGTACTAACCTTCATGACTCCTACAAAAAATTAAAAATAAAAAAAGGAAAAAAATCATATAGCATTATGTTCTATTAGAAATGCTCTATTAGGAATGCTTCCAATCATGCAATCTAACTAGTGTTCTAAATTTATAATTGTAATGACTTTCTTACAGTCCTAACTTAAAACATTAATTTTGTGTGGGATTATAGAATATCTCAAAAAAAATCATGCAAAATTTCTTATGCCATCATGTCAACTAGATATACTAAGTTGGAATGGATATGATAATAAAACAATTCATAAATTAGACTCCAAATAAACTAAATGATCCAATCATGATTAAGCAATAGGTAGATTAGTAACTACTTGAAAAGACATATTATTTACCTATATAATCAGATGCACAATTGACCTCAAAGCAAATATTTCAAAACTAAAATAGTAAATAAGCACTGTGTTGGAACAAGCAAAATACAACTATGGACCAAAATTATACAAAAGGTTTCTATGCACATTGTATGAATGTTGAGCTCATAACCATTGAAGTGGATGGCGGACCTGCCTAGGAATATAATAATAATCATTAAAATTTTATAAAGAGAAACAATAATAGGGAAAGCTAATGTACTTACAAAGGATGACTGATTGCATATGTCTCAATATGCCTCAGTTTCGGCTGGAAAAACTTCAATTTGTTCTGGCAAATGATTCTGTAGTGCCTGAAACTTCAAAAGCCACAGTTGAGCCATTTTTCAATATGTGTACCACCAAAATATATATTAAGAAATATCTCCAAAATAAAGGAATGAACCAATCTTAACGTAAAATACCTCCTACATCCGAAACCAAGTCCTTGAACCATACACAATACTCCATGCATTCACTTATCTTGAAAAAATCCACCTTGCCTTTTCATGCTTGATTCTATTGAATACAACCATTTAGTAGATGCTTTATATACTCATTAGGGTTCCTGCCTTCTTCTACGAAACTGCTCATGTTCAGTCATCCATTATAATTGTTAAAAAACTCAACATAGCTATGAATAGTGAAAGGTCCATAAAACTTCAATCATATTACTGTAGAACTCAACAACAAAGAAGATCTTACATCACTGTCACTAAGTGGATTAATTAGTTTTGACATTTTCCTTAATACAGCCAATTTAGCAAAATAGCAAAACCTCAGTTTCTGCCATAGAGAGACCAATTTGCAGTCAAGAACGAAATCATGATTGAAAATCATTTAAGTACCATTGCTTAAATAGATTACTAAATTATATCAGTTCACTAAAACAATTAATTGGGTATTTAGTAATTCTGGGTAAACAAAGAAATCTTACATATGAAATGAAGAAAATCTAAAGCAAAAACTTTCAAAGCCAGAATTACCTCAATGATTTACTATGAATTATGTTCTAAATCATAAAAAAAAATTAAAGCTGCATAAAAATCAATTCAGACAATAATGTGTCCACTTACTTCAAGACTTCCAATAGAATCTAAATGTGACAATGATTTTATTATTATTATTATTATTATTATTTGTAATTCTAGAATTTTCTACAAATAATACTAAGATATTATTTATCTAACTTTAGAAAAAAATTTGTTTAATTTCTATAATTCCAAGAATATTTTGTCTTTGCACAATTCGTTTTGTAAATATTTTTTTTAGAAAAAAAATGTTTTCTTTTGTAAATATATTTACATATCAAGGAAAAAGCATGAAGATACTATTATTATTCTTAGCAAGGGTGATAAGACTAACCATTGACCTTCTCAAGGATCAAACTACCCTTGTCATTGGATGTAAATGTGATCCCTCAATTGTGATACATCAATAACATAATAGAACATATAGATACATAGATTCTTATCAATATTTACATCATTCTTCTCTTAATATATTCTTAGATATAGATTAATATTATTCTAACTTTGGCTATAGTATACATTTTTATTTTCTCAAAAAAAAGAAGACCATTTTTATATTCTCTATTATGTTCTTATTCTTATTTTTAAAATAATTAATAATTTTTGTGTCATAATCTTGGGAAAGAAAATGATATTTAAAAAAATAAAAAAAATAAAAAGAGTATATATTTCAAATCTAGGTTTTAAAATTTATTTGTATTTTTTATATCAATTCCATTCCTAAGTAACGATAATCTTTTTTATGTTTTTTTACAAAAAACTCAAATTTTTTATTAGCATTATTTTTTATTGCAAAATAATATGTTATTAAGTTGAGATGGCTTAAACTTGCTAGAATTTTCACTTCTTTGATAAATATTTTATCAAGTATAACATCAAATTTTTTAGTTGCATAATCTATTTCCAAACACTTTGAATTATAAATTGCTCCCAAAGCTCCTTAATCTATGGGTCCTATAAATTCAAGATCTTTTGTATTTGATAATAATTTTAAATGTCTACCTTCCATGCAATGCAAGTCTTCCAACCTTTGTAGTAGATACTTTGTTAATCCATGATATTTAAAATCTTCTTCTTTATTTTTATGGATCAACTTCTTCCATAGAAATTCAACATCTTCTTCTACTTCATCATGTGTTGTAATATCAAAAGTGATAGATGTGATGTCTTCAAATTTGTTGGAATAATGTTTTAAAAGCACATCACTTGCTACATCACAACAACATTTCAATTCCCCTAATAGTTCTCTAAAAGTTTCTTTATTATTCAACTAGAATAGAGTTGTTTTGTACCAATTCAATTTTTCACATTTTTAAACTAAAAAATAGGTTTTATTTAATATAAGAAATAATTCGCTTAATAAAAGTTCAAATTTTAATCTACCATTGGTGCAAGCAAAATAAATACTCAAAAACCTTCATAATATGCTTGATGATCTTGTATAATTTTGTACATTGATTTCTATTCAACAAGTCTTTTTTCTTTAATAAAACTTGCAATGCTGCATCATAGGCTTAACATTCTCTTCAAATATTTCTACTAATACCTTTCATATTTAATATTGTACCAATATCTTGTAATTGATCATTGAATTTTTTCATACTAGTCAAAAATCTTTGCCTCCAAATGCAATGAAAACTCCTTTGCACCATAATATATTTCTTAATTGAATCTAAAATTCATGCTATGAAGAATTAATCAAATATATTCCAATCTAATTATTTCACCACCTATAAAATAATACATTGAATTTATTTTTTTTCATGTAGATATTCATCAAATACTCTTTGATCTAGATTGCTTTATACATCATACAATTTTCTACCCTATACATCAAATCCATAATTTAAAGACTAAACCATCAATTCTAGATAATCCTAAAACCAATAATTTAGCTCTTTAAATATTATTATAACATACCTTTAATCCACAACTTCAAAGTAGAATTTAATAATCATTAACCTTAAATGACCTCTACTTAATCAAATATACCTTACAAACTTAGATATACAATTAAAACCATCTTTCAACAAGTTGCAAACATTCTCAAAAAACATTTACAATATGAATGCAACATTATGATATAAAGTTCTTTAAAGACATCCACCTTTTGATTGAATAAAAAACCAACTTAAATTTCAACATTCATCTAACCAAATTATATCTTATATACACATCAACCTACTACACCATGAAATCTTCTTGCAACTTTTAATCAACATAACTTTCAATTACCTTTATTTTTATCTTTATAATTCTATAGATTAAATTATTGCAATTGAAACTTATATTAATTTCAAATTCAATATTAACTAAACTTCTACTAACTTAATATCAAATTTATACTAAAAAATTGATTTTATTATACTTATTTATACAACTATATCCATGCTTATTTAAAGTCATGTTAATCATACTAACTCATTACTATATCCTTGTGATTTCTAACTCATCATGACAAAATAGTTTTCTTCTCAAATCAAGTTTATTAATTTAATTTTAATTTTTAATACTAAATCCACAATCTCAATTTAAAACTTACAAATCTCATGTACTATACTTACTATTTAAGACAACAACAACAATTTATGCTAGACCTAGAAGCACTTATTATATTGACTCATCACCACACTCGTAATTTTTAATTTACCATGATAAAATAGGCAATAAAGAAAATAAAAGAATCACTTTGTATATTGATTCAAAATTATTTCCACACTTTTGCTTATGTTCATTCTTCCACATAATTCAACTATTAAGCAAAAATACATCCTTCTATTAAAAAATAGAAATTCTTCTACATTAAATATTTACATCCACAACTAATTACATGTTTCAATCTCATAAATATAGCACATACAAACAATACTTTAATCTAAGTTTTCAAGTATTCTTACCAAATATTAATATTCTTCACTTAAATCAAAACATCAAAAAAATGCATTAGTCACTTAGTACTTTACTAATACACACAAGTATAGACCTTACTAATAACAATATAAAAAAATATTACATTCTACAACTCATGCCAAGTTGCAAACCCTTACCAATAAGTGCATGTGAACCAACCTTCTATTCACCTAAATCACCCTCAAAATCTTGTTGTGATCTCAACCACCTTGCTAACTAAGTCTTGAAGATGTTCTCAAATACTTAAACTCATGCTGCAATCCATCCAATTGTGAACTAAAACAAATGCCATTAATTGATAATTTGTCATAATCCACATAACTCATCCAACTTTAAGTATATAGCAAATTAGTCATGTTTGTAATTAAAAATCCAACTAAATTGCCATTATTCTCTCATGATTGTACACTTATCTATGCACGATCATGTCTTACAAAAGTTCTCATTCATGTGAATGAAGTTTTCTTTTTTAAGTTATTGATTTTTTAATCAAAATTCATCGAGTCCTAATCTATCCAACCCTAATTCATACAAATCTTAAACTTACTTCATCCACCCAAATTTTATCCAAGTACATGTACAATTTCATCCATTCTAGAAATTCTCACTGAAGAATAAAATGCGTCGAAGGCTAATTGGAACAAGGTAGAAATTTCGATCTTCTTGCACTCAGCTTCACACGATCCCTTCAATCTTTCTGCAGATTTAATGTGTCCTCTTGTGTAATTGTTAAGTGCTGATCATTCTTGCAACTTCCTACGACTTCCTATGGGTTGTGGTAACAAGACTTCCTCTCTCTATTCTGGTCTACGATGAGGATTTCTCGACACTTACGGTTTACGAACGAGACAGTATTGGAAAAAAACTAGGATGACCAGTGACTTACAGAATCAACCTTGATTGAGTTCAACAGTGCTATGCTGCTGATACCACAATCGTTTTAAATACTTTTAACATTTATTTTATCATCCTATGCGGAGTAACTAACCCACAAGACCTTCCGAGGCGCCTGCTTCAAGTGTCCAGTGCAGGTGCAAGTGAGATTGAAGACAGCACGTAGAACAACAAAACGCCTTGAGCATCGGCAGCAAGAACATGAAGGTGATGACGACTGGAACAAGGGCAGATCACGTAGAAGACAATCGTCTGTTCATCAGAGGAGACGATAGATTGTCACTCCACTTCCACACTGCTGGATACATTCACCTTCCCCACCAATGCAGCATCGTCACAGCAGCAACTCGAAACAAATCCTAGTTAATGCTTCGACACCACAAATCGTGCTTCAACTACACCAAGCCGAAGATCTATCGCACAGAGCGAAGGATTCGGCAAACCGTTCCTCAATAGCATGAGCCCACGCAACATTCGTTCAACTTCTTCTACACTCGGTACTGATAGACAAACTTGACACTCCTAGAAGCCGCATTCCACAGGTTTCCCAGCAATAGAGCTACCAGTCACGCGATCCTTCGTTAGTCCGCCAAACACCTCAGACAGGGTCCTTGTCAACTTAGATCCAGCAACGTGAACCTCGCCTCACAGCGACAGAACGAAACGAACAACCAAGAGCACGTGAAGACGAAGTGAACACGTCCGGCAGGACATATGGAGAGCGTGACTTGGATGAGTATTTATCAAATACTGGAAATCTTAACAAATCCGTGATCCTGAATTGCTGTGTATAATCAAGCTTTGTCTGTGTGTATAATGTGTCTTGATACTAGGATATTAAGTCGTGATAAAGCACACTCGCACTTATCACCTCACCGGAGGTAGTCGCTGATTGTCTCCAGCTTGCGCGAACCCACTGACGATATAGACCAATTCTTTCCCATACACATGGGAGTCTGAAGGCGTCACTAAGCTGTCACTCCATGTTCATTGTAAACCGTTGTTGAATTCCACAGTACTATGAGTAACCACCTCCACAGGTATACCAGCACCACGGCTCACTTCCGCAAATCCAGCAGCTCGTGAGAACAAGGAGGGAAGAAATAAACACAGAACCAAGCAGCTCGAGGGAACCAAACCCTGTCGACAGCCACCCTGACGCCCAGCAGAACGACGAGGAAGCAACAACTGCCGACGCCAACAGTTCAAACCGCAGAAACTGCGAGAGATAAGAAAAACAAAAGAAACAGAAAGTGCGCCTCCCCGGAAATGGCTTGAGGATGCAAAAAAGTAAACACTTTCTACGGCAGTAACTGGACTAGGAAGGGGCGACACAGTAATGAATAAACTACACTAAGACACAAGTAGCCCGTCCGCCAAAGGGGGACAATCAAACCCGCAATTTTACGACTAAAAGTGACAACAACCAGATGGAAAAGATGACAGAATCCAAAATGCCAACAACGATCAGCAACCTTATATTAGACAAGATCAGCAACGCCAGGTGCTCAACAACCAGAACAGGCACCTCACAGCACACCACGAACGGGATGAAGGCAGCTTCTTAGCACAAAACAAGAGATCACGACGCTCTAGAATTGAACAGCGAGAGAAACACGAGCACTGAATCACAAGAGAAGAAAAAACAATGCTAACCAGATCCGACGCTCCCACTACAGAGCCACCAACGAGAGAGAGAACACCACCGGCGCCTCACCACAAGCACACCGCCGCACGCAGCAACACGAACACGGGGAGATTTGGGGAAAAAAAACAGGAAGACGTCGATAACAGGTGCTCCAGCAGCCACTCCATGGGCGATGTTGCTAACCTGCATGACCCACGCCAGGAGCACCTTTGCTTAGGAAACCCTCTGAAACTATAGCAAAGATAAACAAGAATCGAGTCAGCAACAAGGGTTTAAGTTAAGTTGTTTCAGCAAAAGAAAGCTCACCGAAGAAGGGTCCAAAGCTCCGATCTGCGCGGCTGGATGTGGATCTTTTGTGTTGGATGCTCCTGCGAAGTTATGGGCGCACTGATCCATCAGAAAGTTAGTAAATTGGAACCCTAACACCGAACAACATAGAAGTAAAAACAAAGTTGCACATGACGTTGACCTCGTCCCAGTTTACAGTCATCCATGCAATTATAACTTTGTAGACAACATTGTCTGCATGGGAAAAATTCAAACTTTCTTGGCAGACAACTTTTAATTTTTTATATTTTATTCAGTACTTTTCGGAAGTTATATTTTGGAAATGGATGCCACGCCAAGGAGACCATATTTAGCATTCCAGGCACGGATGTGGGTTGAGAAATGTGGCGCCTTTGTAATCCTCCCAGATAGGGCCTCTTGGTCTTTCTCCGCTCACTTGTAAACATTGTCACTTGAGAGGATGTGCAGCAGCTCTAGAGGTTCATGGGAGGACATTCCACATTCAGAGGAACCAATGTGGAATTGAAGGACGTGCGTTTCTGATCGTGTGACCACAAGGACCAGAAGAATGCAAGCGGCCATTGGTTCTGAGAAGAGTTGGCGAAGCTGTCTAAGTTGGAGACTGGTCCTTGTTCTGGACAACTACAAGTAAATCCCTAACTCGGATTCAAGTCATCGAATGATGGTTCACAAGTTTGTCGACCTATCTTGCCGGTTATCGTACGTCTTTCCTCCTTTTGTATGATCTAAGGTTACATGGGTTACGAATTGTTTTGACTAGGTTAGCACTATGTTTTTGCCGCCAGAGTTGGGTAACCCTAGTACACCATCACTTGTTACCTAAGTTTAGTTGAGTCATTGTTTGCGGACAAGACTGGTTCAGATATCCTGACAAGGATAACCAGCACAGGGTTTGATGGTTTGTGATACAGAGATCAAGGGAGGTTGAATCTGATCCGTGCACATATAGCACCTCCTTGACGAACTTCTGAGTTTTCTCCTCTATTAAGGTAAGCACTTCATTACCGTACCCAGAGAGCAGGTTAGCAATTCCTTGAAGAAACATATAAATATTATATTTAAAAAAATTTGTTTGCCTGTAAAAAAATCAATTTTCTTCAGTTTTTTTTCTACTTGTGCTGGAATTGGCTTAAAAGCTTTGAATAGTAAAAATATGGCTAAAATATAACTTACTATATTTTCATTTTTGGCTCTTCAACATTTTCGTTTTTGTTCATTTTCTATATTCAAAAGTATTTTTTGGTGAAACTTGGATACAGTGTGTTCTTTAGCAGTGCTGTTAGAGTCACCTGTGCCTTACTTTGAGAAGAGGAAGGAAAAAGAACAAGCTTTGTATCGATTGTACTAAGATTAACGTGACAGTAGGAAGCGATAAAGTGAAATTTATCGATTGATGGGGTGCCTGCATCCAAACTTGTCTCCTACATTGATTATTCACATATAAAATGTTATCTTTTTGGATGGTGAATTGCTCTCAGGGTGAAGGTATTAGGAGAGTTTAGCGACTACAGGGGCTCATATGCAGAACGCGCTAAAAGATTTCCAACCTTTCGTTTGTCTATTTGAAGGAAAAAATATGACTGAGCTCTTGATAGCTACTGGTTTTTTAGTGAAAGAAGACGCCGAGAATGCATACTTTTCAGCTACTGATTTTTTAATGGAAGAGGACGCCAAGACTGAGTACTTATCAGCTACTGATTATTCAGTGCCAGAGCACGCCAAGACTGAGAACAGAGAGCCACCTGATGGTTTCCCAAGTGAAGAAACCATATTGCCTCAGCAAGTCAAGCATATTGAAGTGCAAGTGGAGCATAGTACTGATATGAGTGGGAATGCCAAGCCTACCGAAGAGCTTGCTAAGATAGTGCAGTTTGAGCTTGCGGAAGGGGCAAGACGCAGCCTGCCCAAAGTTGAGAAGTTTGATTGCCATCATCGAGTTATAAAACTATGCAATGCTCAACCTGTTGATCAAGCTTTAAACGTTGCAGAATGTGGTGAACTAAGCGAGCACAAGTTCATCCGGTTGTTCAGTGAATCTATCCTAGATATGAAGGGGCCACAATTGGATTTCTTGAGTGAGATTTGCCTTACTGCTCGTTCGTCTGAGGAGTTTTTTCTTAGCGTTGCAAGGAATCAATGGATGCGGACAATCATCTCTTCTGAGAAGTCTCCTGAAGAATTGTTTTCTCCAATATTGACAATGGAGGAACGTGGAAAACTTATCTCCAGCATCATCATCCACAGCAACATTCTGCCACGTGATCCATTTTGGACAAAGATGCAATCTACAAGAAATGAGGCAAGTAGGAGAGTGCATTTTCCGTGTGCTATTTTCAAGAAGGCATTACAGGAAGGGAACCCATTGATGCACAATGTGCACGAATGGAGGAAGAAGAAAGAACCATGTGATCTTGGTCAGAATGGATTCAAAAGATCTGTGGATGGAAACTCTAAAAAAGATCCTCTAAAGTTGCTATGGAATATCGAATCTGGTGATATGTCACGGAAAGAGTTGGCACGCGGAAGTTGTGGGATTGTATGGTTAGTGACATGGAGAGGTGGTCTGTTTGTGAGAAAAGATTGCGTAAGAAGATCTTCCACTAATAATTGTCGTAACACTGAATCCTTGATGGATGCTATAGAGAAGGAGCTCAATGTGGTGGAACCACTATCTAATGAACACATTGTTTACTGCTTTGGGGTCTCTCATGCTGTAAACAAGAGTTCTATATTCATGGAGTACATGCCCTATAATCTATATCAATTGATAATTGAAAAAGTGGAAAAAACGGGTGACAGCGAGCCACCATTTCCTCACCATGACTCTATTGATATAATACTGCAGTGTGCAAAAGGTATGGCAGATATGCATGTAAATAATGTGGTACATGGCGATCTGAAGTCTTCAAATATTCTTGTAAGCGAAATTTTGATTTCAGAGAATGAAAAACGTTATTTGGCTAAGGTTGCTGATTTTGATAATGCTCAAAGCATGAACAAAGAATCCAAAGGTAAATTCCAACCGAGATGGGGAACTACCAAGTATTCAGCACCAGAATTATTGAAGTGGCTCGGTGACAAGACAGAGGTCATCTGTTTTCCGAAAGCTCTTGATGTGTACAGCTTTGGCATTGTAGCATTTGAGGTTCTAACAGGAGAGGAGCTCTATTGTAACGTGCATTCTCGAAAGAAATTGAGACAAGGCGTAATTGAGGGTACTTTGAGACCACCCCTTCGTAAAGAATGCCAAAAAGAGAACTTTTTAAATGATGAGAGATTGATATCACTGGTTGAGAGTTGTTGGCAGGATGATCCCTCCAAAAGACCTCCCTTTAAGGACATCGTCAAAGACTTGAGCGACATCAACAGAGAGATTTTGGTATGATGCTAATATGGTGCTTCATGTTATATGCATACTGTACTTCACTTTGGTTTAATTTCCGTAACAAATAGAATGTTCTCTATCATTAACAAGAGAAAATATCATGCTTGGCGTTCAGAATTGTCCAGTCATAACTGCTTGGATTCTTTGATTGACTAGTATGTGATTTGTTCTTGCATCATTTTCTTGTAGAACCTGAGCTTGGTTTTTGCAACATGTAGTTTTTAGATTTCTTAATTCATCCTATTCCATAGGTACAACCTTGAACATGAACAGAAAACTGTGGTTTTGATCATGATGTGTGAGAAGTTGGTACGAGAGATAATGGTTTACGTATTATGCTAATCAAATTTCTCCTTTACAGAAGCCAACTCCACGAAATGGCTACCCTCAACCACAAGGAAAATTTGTGAACTCTCTCAGTTTGTTTGGCGGGTAGAGAGGCTGCGGAGGCGATGGATAATTGGTGTGTGATTGCGGTGGTGAGGGCGAGTTCGTGTGACTTGATTCACACTGGAGTTGGAAGGAGTTAGGGGAACTTCGTTGGGCCACCCGTGTAGTTTGGTGCTGTGGAAGTCACTAGCTCGGTTTTGGATAGCGGCATCGCAGATTTTGGTATGCAAAGGGTTATCCAGAGAAGCCAGTCTTAATATAAGAAGACAATTACTTCTCTGTGACATGGGCCAGAAACGGACAGGCCTGCGGATGAGAGCATCAGGCCGTCGATACAAGGTGTTGCTTCAAGTCCTCTTCGTAACTACTCTGCAGTGAAATTTGTCTTGATTTCATGTACTTTGTGTGGAGTAGCCTGTTGGTGTTTGCAAGTACATGGAACAATATTGCTTGTAGCTATCCTTGTTGAAGCCTTAGTATCATTAGTATTCAGTTGGTTTGGTTGGGGTTACCGTATGCTGCAGAAAGCTCTTTGCTATTCATAGTCTGCAACGGTTCTGCTGCTTGATAGGATTGGTACAATTCCACACGATCAGGTAACGGGTTTTCTGGATCAAACAGGTGGTTGCTGTGACTGATTCAGGGTTCGCAATTTTATGGTGTGGTACCTATCTGTTGTTTAACATGAACTGGTATCAGATGACAGACTGGGGAAGTTGCACTGGCATTTGCTGAGTAGGTGACATTGTGCAGGATAAGGTGCTGGAGATTGCAAGCCTGAATGAACAATTAGGCTTGTTGGGTGTTGAAGTCGTTCCAGTTACAGCCGATGGCAACTGTTTTTTTCAGGTTCATACATGTCCAGTGAGCGCAATCATTTTATATATTCATTCATGTTCGTGTATAACATTGGTAACACTATGAGATAAGTTGTCATAACTTTAAGCAAGTTAAGTTGTTACAACTTTTGAAAGTATAATATCAAGTAAAGATGAAGATTTCAGAAAGTGACTTTTTTCTTTCTTTTTTTGTCAAAAAGAGGTGTTATATTGAATTTAATTTTACAACTTTGAAAGAGATGCTTAATGATTAATGATATTATCGAGGGTGGATAGAATATTCGACAACATTTTAAATTTTATACTTGAATATATTAGATGGTTTATTTGCACAAGTCTAAAATAGTATTATTTTTTCAAAAGACTAATTGATTACATGTTTTTTAAGCATATAAAAATTTAGAAGTATCTTTGAAATATAATGAATCAACAAATGTTTTAAAATATGTTCTTTGCTATGTAGGTATAAAAAAATCTTATAGGAGATTGTTAAACCAAAGAAGTTACAAAAAATGCAACTTATTATTTATGCACTTGACCTGTAAGATATACTATCTTAAAAAAATATCTGTGAGACAATTGTATTCTAAGTACACAAAGAAAAGATTAAAATCACTTTCAATCTTGTATTTTATTGACCAAAACCATTTGAATCTTTTGTATTTAATAATTGATTTTGTAGTTTTTTTTATAATTCTATCTTATTAGCATTATACATCTAATAACTATGTATATATATATATATATATATATATTAAAAAGAATCAAACAATTTTAATCAATTTTGTTTAGTGAAGTTAAAATCTTTTTTTTTCATGCCACGTATTAAAGATAACTGTAAATTATGTTAGGTGTATGTAGGAACACCAACATAAATAGGATTTTATTTATGGCCATTCCATTACAAATCTTATTATTATAGTTAGTTTAAAAAATTTCTAAACTACACAAGAAATAATAAGAAAAAAAGTCAAAACCTAAATAAAATTCATTTTTTATAATATTGAGTATTTTTTATACATATTTAAATCTTTAAAATACAATATTTTTGCTTTTTCAGAAAAAAAATTCTTTGATAAAAGTTTTATCTGAAAAAAAAAAAAAAAAAAAAAAAAACTGATTCTTTTTTATTATTCTGCAAATGCTTTTGATATTATATAATAAATAATTTAGACCTGTAGACTTGTAAATAAATTTTTTAATTGTTTTCATTTTTAAAAAATGATCAATATGTCTAATGATATTATCTATTTATATAATTTTATATTTCCAATTATGCACATGGGACCTAAGCTGCGTGCCGCACATTCCTTTTTGGCTTTCATTTGTCCGTTTCTGCCCTTGTCTCTTGAAGTTTTTGTTGAGGCACGCATACTTTGCTGCAAGCCTTGCTGACACCCCCACTCTGCCACCGCTACTTTTCTCGCACAGCAACCCTCACCGCATTGCGATCCTGGCTGCGAAAAGCACGCAAATCCTCATTAGAGCAGAAAATATCATTCACAAGATTTCTTCTGCGAAATGGAACGAGATCCCCTCACAAATTGGGCGTTGATGTGGAACCATTCCAATTGTGATTTGTTGTCAAGTAGTCGAGCAATCAAAAATGTAGCTCTAGAGCTACAGAGCATCGAAACTATTGGCAGTTGGAGGCAAGTAGTGAAACTGTCGCCATCATTGGAATGCTGGTCCACACCATTTAGAATTGATAATTGCACTGTTTCACGATGTGCACACTTGGATACGAATCAAAGCTCATGATGGTGTTGTCCAGATCGAGTTGATCGACATCAAATTGTGAGTGCGCTCCGGTGCTGCATGGTTAAGATACGGTTCAGTCTATGGCACTATCCTTTTGTATAGTAGCACACATATTCCTCAATTTTACCATAATATCAGATCTATTCCTATGTGTGATAACTTATCAAGAAATTTCCAATTATGCATTGGAATGGGGCCTAAGCCTTGTGTTGTGAGCGTCCCTTTTTGGCTTTTTTTGTCCGTTTCTGCCCTTGTCTCTTGAAGGTTTTGCTGCCACCCCCTCTTTGCTGCGGTCCTCGCTGCCACCTCCACTTCTATATTCTGTTTGCACAGATCATTGTCTCATAAGCTTGGTTACTCTTAATTGTTAAAGTATGCGATTTAGAGGACTGAGGACAAAGACGAATTTGAAAGGAACTGAATTTCACAGGTACTAAAGAAATTCACAGGTATTATTGAATTTCACATAATACTAAAGGATCCATACCAGGCGCGTGGTATTTTGATTGCATACAGCGCTCGGTTCTAACCAAGTGAATAGGAAACACAGTGAGATTGTGGATTTTGAGTTAAAGAATTTCCTATCAAACACTTGGGATATTTTTGTTCCACAATATGTGACTCGTGGTACTCAATGTTACTCGTGGTCTGTGTTCCTCATCGTTGATTAAAAAGAGAAACACCACGACCCTCACTGCAAGCTTGCTAGATCCTCACTGCCATCACCACCATACTCGCGAGCCTTGTACGTGGTGCCATCACCACTATGCCACCACCTCTACGCCTCACCAAGGTGCTCGGGGTCATGAGATTTTTGAGTTGCGGCTGGAATTCTTGATATTGCTCCTATAAATTAAGCCGCATCTCGTCCTCCACACTCATCAGTGCCTCCTTCTCTTCTCAACATCTTTGCATTTCCTGTCAGGTTATTTTATAATATTACTTCTTTTTATTCTATTCTTATCTAAATTAAAAACTAAATCCATTCTCTTATAATATAGCATGCTTTTAATTTGCAATCAATACAACATACTTACAACTCACTATCAATATAACAATCTATTCACTTTCATACTTCTAGCTATAAAAAAAATTACTAAATATAATATTAAAAAATAGTAGCAACTTGGTTCTATAGAAACTAATCTTATATTCTTTTGTTCAAGCTCTAATCCATCCAATCTACTATACCTTTAGTAAACCACTCCTAAGTCCAATTTAGTTCTTTATCTATCTATTTTTCAAAGAAAGAAGATAAGGCAAAGTACACTTGGTCAATTGTTTTGGCAATGTTACTACTTGCATCAACAAAAGAAACATACAAAACTTAGTTCAACATTTGTCTTATAACAAAATAAACTCATCTAATTTAATAAATCATATTACTCTAAAATTCAAGCCAAGGTTTAAATCATTACTAATAAATGATAAAAACTTACTTATGATTCAAACCATCCATTGAATCTTATTGTGATCTCAACCACTATGCCAATTCAACATTAAGGATGATGTTCTCAAATACTTGCATACATACTACAATCCATCCAATATATTACATCTTCAATTAACCTTTTTTTTAGTCTAACTCAATTCTTATAATGGTCTATATTTGAGAGGAAGAAGGCAAGATAAAGCACCCTTAGTTGATTGCTCCAACAATGTTACTACTTACATCAATAAGAGCAATGTCATAAAATATAGGCATGGATGTAGGAGACAAGGTACAAATCTTTCAATAATTATTAGGCAAGGCAAGCAATTGTGGTTGAAGCCTAATGATGCTTTGTTTACTTAGTTCCAATTAGGCTAAAGATAAGAATGAGACTAATTATTAGTCATTATTTTTGAAACATAAATGAAATAATAACAAAGATATTTAATCCATTGGCATAGAAATACATAGTTAATGCAGATGATTGTCATCATGCCAAAATTAAAGTATTTATTGTATGTGCAAAATTAATACATGATATTAGTACATAGTATTAGTTCATGAAGTAACTGTAAGTACTACATTATAAATAGTCTTAGAACTCCATCTAAATAAGATGGTCTTGTCAATTTAAACATTTCGATTCATCCTACATAGAAATCAATATCAATTATATCTCTTATATTAGAGTTTTAAAACATGGACTTGATTTGGATGTTTAAAGACTACAAATAGGTCATTGTACCAAGTGATGTTTTTAGAACACTCCATCATTAGAGCAATGACAAGTATGTCAAATTTTTAAGCCAAAAGTAAAAAGCTTACCAATCAACTAGCTAGTAAGGAACTTGAACTGAAATTAATTTTAAGTTAGAAGAAAAAAAAGATAATTGCAAACATTTTCAAATTGAGGGGTTTCAATGTCAAGATGAAGAATTTAAAAGAATAGAAAACTTTGAAACTATGTATGAGTGGTATTGTGACAAAAAGATATAATTCAATGTGTTGAATAATTTAAATAAACTTTGTTCCAAATAATTAAATTATTGTGGAAATCTTGATTTCATCGTTTTATTATTAATGTAGTATATAAAACTATTATTTGTCGTATAAAGTATTAAATATAGCTCACTCTCATATTTGTTCATATCTAAATAAAATTTCAAATCCTAAAGTTAATTTATTAATTACAATTTTCTTATTTTGTTTTTTGAATTTCATCAATTTCAAAAAAAATTAAGATAATAAAGCAAAAAAGTGTAAAAAAATTAAAATAAAAAATAATATATATATATATAGATCTAATTATTGATAATTTTAATAAATCAACTCATTCTATTCATGTAAATATCTTTTTTAATAATATTCGATTTAATTAAATTATTTTTTAATTTTTTAATTTTTTATTATATACAATTGTAATATTAATTATTTATATGAGACCACATTTTTTAAATTTTTTATTAAATATGTAGTTTAAACTTTTGATGATAATTGATCATCTTTTATTTTTTTAAATTAATTTTATTTGATAGTAAAATATTTAATTTTTATTATTATTCTTCATGCCTAAGTAACTTTGTTTTATTTAATTAAAAAGTATGATTTCTTATCTAAATTTTATTAATTAATCTATATCTTATGAATATAATTAATAATTTATAATTAAAGTTTTTATTATTTTAAAATTAAAATAATTTTTATTATAATTATATTGAAAAAAAATTCAGTTTGGACAGCTTTTATATATGTGTGTTTTTTAAATAGAAGATAACTTTACATCAATTTAAAGTAGTTTATAATTTTATAAATTTGCATTCTCATTTAAAAAAAAAAAAAAAAAAAAAAAAAAAAATCTTTCCATACAATATATGTATTTGATTAAATTTAATTTTTAAATCCTACTTTTAATAGCAATAACAATATAATTGACATACTTTTGATTTTTTTAAGTCTTCAATAGCCTTAGAAAATTTAATTAAATATTAAA